AAAGATTAACAAAAGAGAAATGTAAGTGTTAGTTATTTATTCTTTGAGTTTCGAGCGAATCTTGTATTACGATTCTTGCACAGGATGTTATGAGCTGATCCATTGCACGCGTTAAGGTTATTTTATGCTCGACACTATTACTTCGAAAGCATCTGAAACTTCTCAAGACATACAACTCGTGTTATAATTAGGAGTAAGAGTAAAACTTAGTTGCACGTCCACAATATAAATTTAACATTTAAACAGTAATTTTTATTTGCATTTGCATTTTATAAAACACAAACGTAAACATAGAAGTGATGTCTAAATCTAAATGTACTATATGGAGAGGTAAAGCCAAAGAAAAAACGTTTACATTTGCAATTTACAACAACCGCCCATTCCGGCAAGTCACCCATCCCTCTGTCGGGCTCATGGACCCTGCCCCTGTCCGACGGCTGGTGCATTATTTTTTTTTTAGACTCCAACCGACTTATTTACTGACCCTGCAATAACCATATGATTTTTCCCCGTGGTTTGACTTCACTCACACGGTTTCAGGAATCACTTCCCGAAAAGTCACCCATCCTAGTCCTACTCCAGCATAAGCACCCCTAACTATGGAGTTCTCTCGGAACCTGTGACCGAAAAAATAAGTGCACTTTGATGACATAGATAACCAAATTAATCCATTTAAACTTATTCAAATGGCCGGGTCTGGATCGTTACAAATTATTAGATTGATCGAATTTATGGTATATTTTCACTCAGCTACCGTAAATTAGTTTTTAGTAAAAAACTGATCATCTAAAAGAACTATGAACTAATACCATGATTTTATAGGTTTTTCTCCAAATTATTTTTCTTTCAAGAACAATCGAGGCATACACTATATATTCAAACAATGGAAGACATGTTGCAAACATGTACTAGCTAGATTGAGACTAATGTTAGGGACAATACTTAAGTTTTTTAGTTGAATTCATGTACAATAATAAATATCAAGATAGTATTACTGCATTAGGATGTTGCCATACAAAACCTAGCATGATTGACGTTGCGCAACCACTTTATAGTGAACCAGTGCAAAAGACTGTGTATACGTGTATAAGAATCTTCGCGATTACATGTATGGAAATCATCAGTTTTCGATCACACTCTGTGGAGTTATGGGTTCGTTGTCGTTACGCGAGACTTTGTGTCTCAATACATTAGCATTTACTTAGCTTAAGTTTGATAGTATTGTTGTATGAAATACTGAAAATTTGATAGTTATTGTATATTTTAATTAACCATTAAAATTTTATTCCGTTTATTATATATTTGCATGTTTTACTTCTCTCTTGCTTTGTACCACTTATTCTCGTGACCTAAAATAAAATGAATTATGCAGGGTTTATATTTTGTATTTTTTTTAATGATGGAACTAATATATAGACATTTTTTTACAAAAAAGTTATAGTACAATTAGACGTACTGAATATAACGTCAATGTTAAATAATTTTTGAAAAACAAAACTGAGAAAAAAACAAGTGGTGAACTTGTAATAATTTTCAGCACAGTGCATTGAATTGTCTCTTCTGCTAACTAAATCAGTTGATTTTTGTGGTTAGTCTATCAATCAGATACTTTTTTTTTTTTTCAGCAAACAAAGACTTGATAACTCGAAAAATGGTCTGAACAATAGATCCGGAAATCCTCCACTATTCTCTTTCTTGATACTTTTTAAATTAGAGAACTGAAGATGAATTTAATAGAAATGAAAAAAAAAAGTTACAAAGAGAGAAGAGGTAGGTCAAATATTCATTTGAGTGGTTATCATCTCTGCCTAGACTTTAGGCCCAACACTTTTAAGTCGGGCTACTTCCTAGGTCAACAATTTTACACCACCTATATCTCTCTCCTCTTTTATTTTGAAAAAGATAATACATACGATTGAGAAAGAAAAACAAAAAAGAGAAACAAATTTACATCTTAAAATCACATTTTTAAATATATTGACGCTAACGTAAGAATTATTGACATGTTTCTCAAGTTAATATAGTCCATACACGAAGCAATTCCCTTGTAACTTGAGTGATTGAAAGATAATAAAATATAAAATCCCAATAATAAAATTAAAGTAACGAGGCAAAAATAAATAAATAAATAATCAAATATGAGTGGAGGAAGAAGAGGACACGATGCTCAGAGCTTGTAACGAACGCCAAACTGAAGTGGAGAAATTGCAGAAATTTATGAAACGCGTAAAGATGTTTGTTTAATGATGTGTTTCACCACAAGCATCTCTATCTCTCTCACACAGCCCAAAAAAACTATATGTCATAAATCTTGTTGAATATTCAAATCCACATTTATTATCTACCTAATTGTTATTCACTTTGTTCGAACGTTATGAAAACGTAATTTTGACCTAGATAGTTTTGACCGGTTCGATTTTTTAGTAGCTCGTCTCGTGGCTCTACCCATTTATCCGCGAGCCTTCTTACACTTTTCCTTTGAGCATGACAGCATGTGCATCAAGCCATCAAAGACCACGTGGTCTTTTCTAAAAGCTCATTCTATTTTTATTTTGTTGCCCTTTTTTTCTTATAAATTTATGTGGTACTATATGCCCATTTGAATTCTGTTGCATATTTTGAAAAGGGAAAAAGTCTACATTTAGTTTTAATTAAACTCAAATAGAATGGGAAATTTTTGGAAATGTTGAAGAATTTATAACTAAGATGTAGGTTTATGAGTAAAAAAATTATATGTTGATAGGATATTCTGTTAATGGTAATCGAAAAGATAGAGAAAGAATATCCAAAACATAGTTACTAAAAACAACACAGAAGGGTATATCGAGTGTTTCATTGTCTCGTGAAGAACATCAATTTTTTGTTTTTTTTATCAATTAAAAACAGCATGTTTTCTATTCTCTTCTCTGTGTCATTTTAATATTTTTCACATAAATTAAGAAAATTATTAAAAATTCTATTTTATCTTTTATTCATATACAAAATAATATTCTCTTTCTAATTAAAACAATAAAAATTAAAAGTTAAAACTAAATATTTAATCAAAATAATATATTAAAAATATAAAATAATACTTTTTTTGAAACAAAAATAAAACGGAGGGAATATAATTGTTTGTTGTTGTCTACAATATGTCTTAAAGTTACAAATTTGATAAATAAAATTGTTTAAAGTATCTTACATTTGAAAAAATATTTGCCAACTAGACACATTGTCAAACATAGTAAATTCTTGTCGCCTCATGTTCTCTGTTTTTACACCCAGTAATTGGGTAACTATTTTCTACTCGCTCGTTTACGTCTGAAGAAAGAAAAGTGATGATTTTTTGGACTTTTTAAAGTTTGTTTTTGGACTTTGTTAGGTGGCTTTGGTCGGTTGTTGTGGTGGGATCTAAAACCATCACTTACAAGATTTTTCTAATAGCCTTAAACAATAGTAATTTTTAAAATATATGTCACTCGTTTTGGTCGTTTGTTAAATTCACGTAATCAACCCAAAATATATACTACTATAATTCTAGTCAAGAAAGGAATGCATTCTCTAACATAATTTAACGAACAATAAAATATTCAGTTGACTCTGCACTCAAAGTCTAAATCCATAGTTTTAATGTAGTTCACACAGGCAATGAGGCAAACAAAAAAAAAACTGATAAAAAACATTCTTCGTGGTTACCCATTAACCTATTTGTTGCCGCCCAAAATTTGAAATTTTCAAATGAAGCAAAAATATGAATATATTAAGTATTAACTGGTGCTTTATTCCTGGATATATATTTCGAGGATGATGTAACTGATTAAATAAATTTGAACATAGTTTCAAATTATTAGATTATGCGAATAATGAGAATTTTAGATATGCACAGATAAATATAGGTCAGGATGGTACTGTCAGGTTTGATATATATTTTCTTGGAAAGTGAAATAGCAGAAAGAAAAGGATGGAAAATGTAATGGACCAGTGACTGTCAAGTCACTTCCAAATGCGCAAGTGAGGAAATTTCCACTAATTGTTTTTTTTATATATTTTTAGTAATATATTAATATTTTCTCTAGATTAAGAAAGTTTTTTTTGAATTTAGATTAGATAAAGAAAGTTCCTTACAAGTTTGTAATTTACTAAAAAGTAGCATAGATTGGGAATCATATCTGCAACTCTGTTTTTCTTTTCATATATTAATGTGTTTACATGGTTAAAATTACGCCCAAATGCCAAAACACATTACCATAAACATTAACAAAGTTCAATTTTTAATGTATTGAGTCTCTTCAACATACTGAAACGCATTTTTTAGTTTCGATGTTGCCAAATCATAGCATAGTCAGAAGCTCAAAGCAACAATTTTTCCAGTAAGTGAATTTAAATATGAGACAGATTATGAGCTGTGTGACAAACGAAGACGACAGAGATATGTAATAAATATATATATTTACTACTATATTTTTTTTTTCAATTTTCTAGGTGTCAGGAATCGCATAATGATCCATCACTATACAAAGGCAAAAACAAGACCCTTCACTAATCTGAGACTGTGATCTGCAACAAGATTTCTCTGTTTTGTCATCATCATCGTCATTTTAAACTAACTTTTTTTTTAATAAAAAAAAACTAAAACTTCTGCGATCTAATTTTCTTTTGTTTTCTTTAAAAAAACCTAATCGCTAATCTTCTCCCTCTGTTCCTTGATTGAAATCAGGCTATCGATTGATTTCTCCGACATTGAATCGCTTGCAATTCTTGAAAACAAATACGAATCTACAAAAAACCATAAACAGAGTTTTAATAAGCATTTGCTCATAGTTTCCTTAAAACAAAAATTAAATCAATTAAACAGAATTTATAGTTTACCTTCAGACGACGAAGTACTGAGTTTCTCTTGTGAGGAAGATTCACTAGTAGATCGCGATAACATAGACGATTCTGTAATCAAAGAGAAACCCATTAAAATTCATGAAAAATCCAAATCAAATCGATTAAAACACAAGAGAAAGAATCTGTTTTTAAGTACCTCTCGAACCGTGAAAAGATTTCTTGCAATGGAGAATCGCACTTTGAATCCCATCCTGTTGCACTTGTAAAGACTCGTCGAGTCTCTTCGCCGGAGACATTCCTCCGATAGCCGCAGACGCCGACCGGCTCTTCCCAAGTTGCCTCCTCACGCTTCGAATCCCAGACGGTAAATTAGTCCTCTGTTTTTCCCTCGCCGCCGGTGAAGACGCCGGAGATGCCGATACACTGTTGATACTCTGTTTCTTCGTTGTTTTAGTGTATAAAGGCTTTATCAGATCAAAGAATCTCTTCGAGGAAGAAGAAGATGAAACAGGGGAGGCAGAGCCATCGAAGAACACCGTGTCGTCTCTCACCTTTGTCCTCGCAATGCTCGCCGTTTTTCTGAAACTTGTTGTTGTCGTCTCGTCGTCTTCGATTCTGAACCTTACGTTGAGGCTTCTGCTGTTGTTTTCTTTCTTCTCAGTCGTCGTTGACTTTTCCGATTCGACGGACTTTGACTTCTTGAACGAGAAAGCACGAAACTTTTGACCGGATTTGAGGAGAGTGATCGGAGATTGAGGTTTCGAGCTGATTTCGACGAAAGGGAGGACTTTGCTCTTGGAGACGGAGAAAGTCGTCTGCTTTTCTTCTCTCTCTTCAGGGGTTTTGTTTCCCTTGATGGAGAAATCGGAGAGAGAGATCTCGAGCTCGAAGAAGGAATCGTCTCCTTCGCAGAGCTCTACTTCGGGATCTCCCAATGCGGTGGAGGATCCGACGGCGGATTCTGAGATTCTGATTTCACGGCGGGATTTATTGCTGTTGGCGTTTGTTAGCCAGAATTTCATAAAGCTAAGAGCTTCCATTTGATAGAGAGAGAAAGAGATAAGATGAAGACGGAGAGAGAAAGAGTAAGAAGCTTGGCTTTGTCAACGGGAATGGGCAAGGAAGGTTTTAAAGGAAGAAGAAAGAGAAGGTGAGCTTTTCGAAATGGGTTTAATCTTTTTAAATTTTTTTTTGTAAAGTAATAAAAATGATAAATGAAAATGGCATTTTGAGAATGAAAAACAAAAAAAAAAACAGTTTTTTGTGGGAGCTTTCTCTCTCCTTTTTATTACCGCTCCTTTTTTTTTTTTTTCTCTTTTCTCTTTTATTTCTTTTTCTTTTTACTTTTCCTTTACTCTTTTTTTTTTCATGCACAGACTAAACATTTGTTCCATCTATTGTCTTCGTTATAAGCCATGACACATGTTTTTGTAGCTTTTTAAAGCTAAAGGGATTTATTTTTGTTTTGTAGAATAATAACAATTTTTACATCTTCAACTAATGAAATCATGTTTGGAAAGACAAAACAAATGAAGCAAATACGACGAGCGTAATTTATTGAAAAAAGTTGGCTAACCACAATAAAATGGACAAAAAGTACATTAACTAGAAAATAAAGACAAAAACAAAATTTAGTGGCGGTCATTAAATTTTTAGGCTTTTATTTTTTTTTCGTTTTTGAAAAAAATTGAGGTCCGCACAAGAAGAATTTTGTTTGGATTCGGCTTAAAAAAATATTTGTTCGATGCCTTTCATGCTAGTTTCAGTTTTGGATGGAATAGTTCAAATTTTATATTGTTCGTGTATTTGATTGTATCTTTCTCACTTGTCCACTTAAGTAGTTTCCAATAAATTCTGTGTTTATATTCAGTGGATTTTTGTTTGTTACCGCTTGGGTTAACTAAGCTGAATTTCAGTTCACTTGTTTTGGTGACTAATTCGGTTTAAGTTTTGATTTGAGTATACACTAGTTCAAAAAAAAAAAAGTTCTGATTTGAGAATATTTGGTTTTCGTTTGGTGATACCAATGGTCATGAACCCGAATCGATCTCAGACCGAAAGTGCAATAGAAAATATTTTTTAGTGAAAATTAATAGTTATAAAAAGGCAAACAAAAACCTAAGAACAAATCTAAAACTCAGTCAAGACTTTTACGATGTCGACAAGTCAAGACGTTGAATCTTTCCCAGATGGAAGCAACTTATCATCTTACGAGCATTTAACATATACTTGTTGGGTCACACCTCTTATGAGAGCATTGGCCAAGTGGCCAGCAATGCTGAAGACATTAGGATATCTAAGCTCGGAGGTGGAAAGATAATTGTATGTTGAGAATACAATAACATGTTTTGGGTCTTTTGGCTATAACTTAGTATCGATAAATTTCCAACGTAAACAAAAACACGAAGAATACGGAAATAAATAAATAAGAATGACAAAAAGAACCATTTACGCTACATAAAAAAAGAAGAGTTTCGGTCTCTGTCTCTGACGTTCTGACTTTAGTGTTTAAAGATAAGTTCGTGTTCTTTCCATGACAAAAGTATATTTGGCCCATAACATAGTTCAATTTTCCTTTTGTCTCTACTTTGAAAAAATAAGTTGTTTATTGTGTATGTGTGTATACCAAAGGTTTTAACCTCAAAAGCTTTGACTTCAAAAGCTGTTTCTTTCATGAACTTCAAAAATTTCGACCCTCTTTCACTTTAAAGTCTAAAGAACACTTTGCTTTAAACGTTTCTTTTTTTTGCTAAACACTTGTTATTTAACTTTAATACAAGTGACGTGAGAATCAAGTAATTAGTTTTTAGTATGTTATTCATTAGCCTAACTCTGTTTTTATACTTTTTGATGTCTTCCCAATTTGATTTTCTGTTTTTCGATTCAATTTTAAGCTTCTTTACTTATTCTAGTATTGTTTTTTTTTTTTTGAAAAAGGGTTACTTATTCTAGTATTGTTGTTTCCAATGCAGCAAACGTATATGAACCAACATACCAACGTAATTCAATTTCGTTCGTTCCACTAGATTGCTTTTTGTTGGTGTATATCTTAAATCTTTTAACTGAATTTGTAATTGTTAAAATCTTTCTAAAAAGATAATCTGTTTGTCAATAATTTTGTCAAAATATTTACCATTTGTCACTAAATTAATAATTTACATTTTAGTGTGTTAGAAAATAATAAATATATTATTATTTGGTTAAAATATATAAAAAAGCACTGTTTGTTGAAAATAATTCAAAAATTGTGATGCAGTAAATTTTTAAATATATGATGTAGTCAATTTAAAATCTGAAATAATCAATCGAAATTATTAAAATCTTGTTTTCAATGTTTTTTATAATGATAAAAGTTTATATAGTGTTTTAATAGCTCAATGCATTTGAGATAAAAAGAAATGAAAAGAGAATAACTAGAATGAATAATGGTTAACATTTATCACAATTTTTTAAAAATTTAGATTAACATTATAGACTTTTAAAATTTCACGGTTTTTTAAACAAACACTATTATTTTTATGTAAACAAAATAAACATATTATCTTTAACAATACAAAATCAAAATCAACTTAACGGCATATCCTCTACATATTAATTGAGAATGTAGTTTAACGAAAAATGCTGATCTGTTTTAATTTGATTGATTAATATATTTAACTTGAACAATTTTAATGTGATATATAAATGATGATGTGTAATAATGATGTAATTGTGATATGTCAATTTTTAATACAAGTAGCTTGTGACATGATATATTTAATATACTAATAAAATTAGATGTTAAAATTTTGATATGAAAATTAAATACTCAAGTTTTTTTGGCAAAAAGTTTGGAAAATAAGATTTTGGCCAAATAAATTTAAAATTATATTTTCGACACAAAATTTATGTCGATGAAATTTACAGATTTCAATTATTGAGTAGAAAATATGTGGCAACCTATTTTGCTAAAAAGAATTTAAATCATATTTTTGACAAAAAAATTATGGATTCACAAATTTTGGCAGAAAAATTTACGAAATCAACTTAAAATACTTTAAAATATTTTTTTGGTGGAAAGTTACAAATTCACATTTTCGGCGGAAACTTTTTTGAATCTATTTTTCACTGATTTTTATTTAAATTATATATTTAAGTAAGTTTTTAGCAGAAGATTTATGGTTTCACTATCAGGTTGTGTGGCTACTTGTCAGAGGCTTACTTATCGACACCTAGGCACAGATAAAAGTTGCTCCTGATGTGAAGACTCAGAGGAAACAATTAGTAGGGGTTATTGGTTCTTGTTTTTTGGTGGATTTATAAATCTTCTTTGGATTTGATAAATTTATTGATTTCAAAATCAGCAAAATAGAAAAAAATCAAATCCACTCAAATACCAAGATTGGACCTTGTATTTGGGTCTTTGTATTTTAGTCATGAAAATCCTTCCAAATCCATTCAAATTCAATTAAAACTCAAATCCTTATAATATTTAGATTCTAAAATGATAGAACCAATAACACTGTATTTCATTATGGATTTTCAAATCATAGAACCAATAACACTGTATTTCAATATAAATTTTAAAATACAAGAACCAATAACACTGAATTTGGTTTGGATTCTCAAATCCATTAAAATACATGAACCAATAACACCTCCTTAATCACATGATGTTTGAATGCCTCCTTGCTATGCAGGTGTGGGCTCTTTCAGACTTTCCATCCCTTCCAGGTTGCTTCCCATGTTCATCTCTATACGGAAACCTAGATTCCTATTTTGGAGGATAAAAGAAAGAGAGCTACCTGCACCCCAAAGGGATATTTTCCCATGGATTATTTTGTTCATTTGGAAGACAAGAAATGACAAGGTATTCAATGGAAAAGTCGTATCAGCCATTGATACCCTACAATATGCTACCATAGAAGCGGAAAGTTGGCAAAAAGCAAACGAAAAGGAGATGGAAGAGGAGAGAGAAGAGGGGTATGGTCCACACACCCCGGGCGAGCTCCTTGTGGTCCCCCAAATCCCGACTTGCCAGATTGATGCCTCTTGGATTAATCATGGACCGATCAGTGGAATTGGGTGGTACTTGACCGACACAATGGGATTCATCACCACCGGACAATAAGGATGCAGAAGAAGTCTGTCAGCTCTACATGCAGAGCTGGATGGGGTTCTTTGGGCAATGGCATGCCCAAAAGATAGACAATTTCAAAGAGTTTGCATTGAGACGGATTGCTCAAGTTTGGTTCAGATGATCGAGAATCCCATGGATTGGCCTGCTTTTAGACCGAAGCTAGATTATTTGTTTTTGCTTTAACCTCATTTGAGGAATGTATTATTCAGTTTATCCCTCGTAGTCAAAATGTTCATGCTGATACTCTCGCTAAAATGACAAGAGCACGAGGATTTATCTTTTCACATGTAAGTCAGACTCGGTTAATGGAAACGGAATTTTCGGAAACCGTAACCATTAACTAAAATTGACCTAATTTATGGTTTCACTTATTTGATGGAAAATTTATGAAATCAAATTTATAACTGACAATTTTTGGATTCACATTTTTAAATAAAGTTCTGGCAAAATTTATTTTATGGATTTATTTTTTTTGACGAAAAATTCACAAAAATTAAAATTTTGATAAAATATTTTTAGATTCATTTTTTGACGTAATTTTTCTGGTCGAAAAGTTATTTATTCAAATGTTTGGTAGAATATTTGAGGAATCTTATTTGATGAAAAGTTTTTGGAATCTTACTTTTAAGTAAATTATTTTTGGTGAAATACTTACAAGTTCAAGTATTTTTTTTGAAAAAATTATAGAATTAGATTTTTGTAAGGAAATTTCTTAACTTTTACTATCATCTCATCTCATTTCATTACATACAAAGAACAAAGGTTATATTTGAATGTGTTTCAATTATATAGTGAGAACTAGGAACCATAAATGGGACAAAATGAAAGAAAAGTACAATAAGATGAAAAATATAAATAAAAAGTAGAAGACGAAGAATAAAGAAAAATTATTATTTTTTTAGTTTATATATTTTTTACATC